GCTTTTATACCGCCGTAGTATTTTTCCCATTGCTATATTACCCTCGGGAAGAACAAGAGGCCAACCGCTTGAACAATTTTTTTTTCTTTCTTTTAGTATAGTAGTAAAAATCGTTCACATTCTAATTTAAAGCAAAACTGTTGTCTATTAATTTTAGTTAAGGGTGGCTTTGAATTAATTTTTTTATGCAACCATTTGCAATATGATTGTTTACATGTTAAGCTTGCTAAAAAATGTATTTGAATAGGTAGGCGACCTTATGTAGGATCTTGTACTATAAGTGTAAAGAAACTCTCGACGTTTCCCAAATGATGTTGTTTGGTGATTTATTTCAAATGCTTGTCCGTACAGATGGCCGATCACTTCAAACTTTCTTGTATGCAGCGTTTATGTTCGGGAAACTGTAAATTTCCTTGACTGAAATAATTAACTTATCTAAAATGGTGTCCGTTTACCACTACTCGTTGGTTTTTACAGAAAAGCATCTTGTGTTATTGCAAAATTTTACTTCTCTGATGCTTCTTACATTTTTTTGGAAGTTCACGCTTTCACGCTTTCTAAAACAATAAAATTCGCCTTTATTGTTGTTGAAAACGTAATCGCAATCGGCAAATTAGACAACTGTGGGTAATTAAATATATCCGCTTTCAACCGTCAATTCAATAGCCAAGACCGAATCGGAGATGTACGCACTGAATAAACACAGGGTTGACAATTACGTCTGAATAGCATTGAATGTATTTCCGCAGCCACAATGCGCAACTTAACACCACCGGAATCTGTAAACTTACAATTTCGTAACTAATCAGGTTAAGAAAAACCCCTTCGATACATTCATCATAAATTGTTCGGTTTAAGGTATTCAAATCTATTTGATACATTCCGTCGTGAAAGTGCGAGGTAAACATTCTCCCAATTCAAGAGATCCACAACAATTTCTATTATTCCAGCTAAAGTAGAGAACGCTACAACATTATTGTTTGTTTGAAACCGCAAAATTTCAACCTCCTGTCTAATATCAATATCGGTCTGATTTAACAAAATTTTAGTAATAGCTCGGTGACCGCTTTTAGTAAAAGGTTTTTATTACAAATTTCACTAACTAGGATAGTTCTGTTACTTGTAGAAAAAGTGACTAATGGTCTAGCGGGAAACCAGAAGTACTTTATAAAAATTGAAATGAGTAGTAAAAATAGGTAATACATTTAAATTACAGATTACTTTATCCTTCAAGGAAATGATTAATAGCTTTTAAGTGTGCCGTTTTAAAACTCAAACCGATAATTCTTAGTTTTTAGCCGGTTCTTTTGTCACGAACACCTTATTTGCAAACGTAACTTACCCTGAATCAGACCGTAAATGTAAGGTGGTACAATTTTAACCTAGAAGGAAGGTGGGAGAAAAAAGCTCTTGGTTCACCACAAACGAAATTAAACGTCTTAATAACACAAATTGTGAAAAATCACCCCGCATTAAACTCAATCCAACATACTTAACTTTTGTGCAACTAAAGCTAGAATTTAAAATGTAGGCTGCGGGAATAACGTGTTTCGGCGATGTCATCCGTTAAAACTGGAGAGGACACAAATTAAAACAAATTCGTGAATAGGGCTTCGAAACCCAAAGTTGATATCTTACAAATCTTAGGACTTTTACATTTATTAGCTATGTAGTTCATTCATCATCAACAATCTAGACCTTATCTTTGGTTTCTGTATGTCGTACTGTAATTTGGTGCTTTACCGCCATTTACTCCATGTGCAACATCTGTAATCACGTAGCATACTATGTAACGACTTATTTTTCACGGTACTTTTACTTGTCGGAGAACCCCTGTATCATCCAAAGCGTTTTATAGGGGGCGTCCCTTGCTGGTTTATTATATTCGCGCTTTCGATGAGGTGAATTGCAATCGTTTTAGTTAGACGCTTACCTATTTTTGGCGATTCATTCCGTTTGGTGTAACATCGACGCATGGTTGAATTCGAATGACAATTATCTCGTTTATGAGGCTCTTTTTACGCAATTTCCCACGTGGTGAGTAGACTGCCATTTCGATTATCGGCGTTATCTTTTGAGCATTCTGCCAGTTGACGGTTGGACCGCCGTCACCGAGCTCTTTGCTGTAATCGTCTTATTTTCGGATTAACCCTTTCCTTAATTAACTAGAGGTTTGTAGGAGGTTGTGATATACCTACAAAATGTTACATGTGGCTTTTTGAAGAGCGACTTTTTATGTTACGATTCCATCTAAGGTCGAGTTTCAAATCAAGTTACGAACAGCAATCAAACTTATAGCAACCATTCAAAACGTATCGACCTTGACACCTGGAATTAGGTCACGCCTAAAAACCATAATAGTTCAACGAATTATGTATTTGCTCTTGCCTCACAAATCAATGTAATGGTAAGTACCCTGTCGTAACGTTTATCGGTACTTGATCCACTTTGCTCTTGTTAATTTTTTATGCACGTATTCGATATTGAATCGTAGAATACAAGTAGTGATCATATTAGGCATTAATTACTTAATCACTGAGCTTCTCCTTTCTCTTTTCGTCACTGTAGATGATGTTTGCATCGTCTTCGGCTTCACATTTACCCCCAGGTAAGATTGGTTTCTTTCTTATGATAGTACCAGTGTGTTCCCAATCGAAACAATTATTGGACGTTGTCATATTGTGGTGGGAGATGCTTATGTATTCTGCACAGTAATTTTTATGCGATCATTTTTGAATTGAGGGGTTTTGTACCAAATTTTAATCAATAAGTTTTGATATCCGGCATTATTTTTGTATTAGTGGGGAAATAGTGGCCAATAACGATTCAATTTTGAAGTGATTTTACTTGCCATTAAAAAGAAATATACCAGTATTGGTTTGGTTAAGTTTGATAGTTACTTTTCTTGCATTTCCTAGTTTTTATTCAAGGAGAGTTAAGTTTTAAACTGGGTGGCGCTCAACCAATGGTAAGTTATAAAGAAAGATTATTTGCTCAAAACGAATCAACCGCCGTGTAGATCGCAAGGGTTTAAATTTTACAGCCCTGAGCTGGCTGGTCGTTTATGCGGCGGGCTTGAGTTAAAGAAACGCTAGCCTAACCCACTGTCATAACTAAAACAGTATCATTGACCTTTATTACAGTCACCCAATATAAAGTATCCTCTATCTATAGTTTTTTCACCCTTTCTTTTTAGAATCGATTTGGAGTACTTCAGTAATTAGATAATTGTTGCCTGATAAGCCTTTTTGCTAGTAAAAACATTAAAGAAGATCAAATCTAAAAAAATACAATTTGAAATTCAAGAAAGGCCTTCTAAGAGCGTGTGATCTCCTATCGCTTGAAAATGAAGAGATTTGTATTGCCTAAGAATTTGGGGCGACCTTGAGCATGGCGACAAATAGGCGAATATTATATTGGTATAAAGTCTGAAGGTTGAATTTTTCTTTGTAGCAGATGCCGGAAATGTACGAAGAGAAATAAAAATTCAAAGTTTCAATTTTGATTTGTTTAAGCTAGCTGAACAGGTGCTTTGTGGGTAGTGTAGTTGACCGCACACTATTGCACACAGCAATGTCTGCAGAACTCTTCATGTAATTTAATTGCAATTTTCCTTCCAGAAATGGTTCTTGGAAGCCCCGGAAATCGCATAGTCCTCCCCAAAAGTGATTTTGTAAGTTTTCCGAAGAAATTGAGGGAAGTTCACTAGATATTTGTCAGTAATCTTTCTAGTGATTACTTTTCGAAATCTTCGCAGAGTCACGAAGATCACGAATTGTTGTAGAAACGTTATCGGGTCTTAGAAATCCCGTATACCTTAGAAACTTTGAAAACGTTTTTTTGGAAATATGTGTAGGTATAATAGGTACAAATTACGCAGTTTTCCGCATAATTTAATTAGAAATTTAATTAGAAACAGGGAAACTTTGCATATGTGTATGTCAACTACTAGGAGCCCGTAACAAAATATCGAAAATCAACATTTGTGCATGCTGTGATTTTAATTTTTTTGGCAAATTTCATTAACCGTTGGATATACGAAAGATTGTTTCAAAAGTTCAAGAATGTTTTAAAAACGTAAATTAATAATATCAAAACTTAGCGACTCTCCTCGAATAGTAAGAAATTCACCTGGCAGTCATCTTAGAAATGTTCTTGAAAACATCTTATTCTCATTAGAACACTCTTTGCGTCATAGCAAATTTCTTTTGAAGGTTTGTTGCAAAACTCTTAGAAGATTACCAGGAACGATCTTCTCGTGTTTAGCAATCTTTTAGTAGAAACTTTTTGTGTAAACATTTTTAGAGGTCTAAATCTTCTTATAAACCATCTCTAAAATCGCCCTAGGAATTTTAAAAAGCCTTTTTGAAAAGTAGTTGCTGTTCTCACATTTTCGTAGGAAAAGTCATTATAGATTATAGATAGATAGATGTCAATCGTGGGGATCTCGGAAACCATAGAAGATGCTCCAATAAGAGAAAAGTTGCACCATTCAAGAGTAATTAAAATGCTGTATAGAAAACCCAAAAATTCCCATTACTTATTTTTTCTGATGTTATTTGAACAGATACAACAAAATAAAAAACATTTCCCAATTCCACTATTTGAGCTCTACAAGACAGCGTTGAGAGATTTTTCAAACAACGTTTTATTTCGAAGAAATCATCAGTAACTTTATTTTTTTATATGGCCCGATACAAAAGTATATACTGTATTAAGCATCCTTTTTTATTACGGTGGCACACAAAAAATACAAAAGTTGGAAGCTGTTGGTTTCAACAGGATTGTGCAGCCGAAAATGGAAATTTATGCACCACTCTTAAGCGTTTGGAATTGCTCCAGATAGCGAAATATCAAAAACGATTACCTACAAAAAATAATGAGCGGTCAACTTTGCCATTTGAACCTAGACACAACAAAACATTTCAATCTTTAATGCACTGGGTACCAGATATGCAAATTCTTATCTACAATAATTATGATATATGTCACAACCCGGCATAATCTTAGTATTACGCGTACTTTGTACATCAATTGATTAATGTACGAGCTGTAGTAAATCTTATACTTTTATAACGAGAAGTTTGCCTAGGAGATGGGGGAATGTGGTAAATCGAAGAGTTTAATCAAATAATAACTAATCTCCATTTCAAGGTAAATCTCCAACAGTCATCCCCCAGCAGATGCAATGTTTCACGAAACGAAGCGCGACGTGGTGGGATAAAAACTCCGCGACCGGTGTTCTCCATAAATATGGCGAGGTTATGTTTGATCAGATGAAGAAAGTTCTCCAGGAGAAATGGTTCATTTCCGACGCAAGTGTAGCTCTCAAGAATTTCAAGTTGCTGGATGCAGGATGCGGAGGTAGCGTACTGGCAAAGACCTATACACTCAGTGAACAATTTCAGGTGGAATTCTATCAGAGCAATTTGCCAGAACGGGTTGTACTGTTGTTGGTATTGACGTTAACGAGTCTCTGATTAACGTCGCCAAGCAGCATCAAGCTCTCGATTCGTCGCTGGTAAACTTGTCGTACAGTTGGGAGACGATCGAGGATCACGCTGCAAGAAACCCTGGCAAATACGACGTTGTCGTGTTGAACTTCGTACTCTCACATGCAAGGCATCGTGAAACATTGGTCAGGAGTTGCATTCAAGCACTTAGGCCTGGAGGAATCTTTTTCGTCACTGCCGCCAATAAAACAATCGCTGGATGGTTACGAATCGTGCTGCTTGAACAGATAATACATGGAATTTTGCCCAAAAATTCGCACAGTTGGAAGTTGCTGTATTCGCTTAGCAAACTCAGAAGAGTCCTGGCGCAGAGTAAGCAATTGTTAGGGAAGTTTGTGGGGTACCTACAGCCATTATTTACAGATGCGTGTGTAGTAAAGGAGTATAGGGGACTAATGTTCTGTCGAGACACCTCATTGCTTAAATGGGTCGATGACACAGCAGGGTTTTACTTTGTTTATGCAATTAAAGAATGAATTCCACCGAGATATAGACCAATTAGCTTATACTCCTCCTGATACGATTTATTAAAAAATTACCATTCCAATAAATTAATTACGCTTTAAATAGTGTGTGGCAGTACATTACTTTATTTATTATTTTGTAGATTTTGCTTATGGACAAGTGCAGTCGAAAACGAGACGCATACTGTTAACAGTTTCTTTATTTTCTCAAGTAAATATAAATTATTATTGGTTGATTTCCACCGTATTTTTGATTGGGGACCACTGCTATTGCAATTGATTCAGTTAACGAGCTCCGATTGGTGCATCATTTTTATACTCCATTTCTTCATATTTTACATCTAAATTAATAACATTTATACCTAATTTCACTAACGATCATTAAAAATATTAGAATGGGAAACATCGTACCTCATAATCAAAGTTGTATATTTTTAATCATTGATTATCAGTACAACCAATGTGATTAATCGAAGTAGTAGCATTCATCGTGGTTTTTGGGTTAAGTACTTGTTTTCTAAATAACCCTCGGAGAGTTTCAGATCTCGTTTTGGGTTTCAAATACTAGTTTTCTTTTGTTCAATTAATTCCGTTTGCAACTAGTGGGTAATTCCTCTCCCAGGGATTGTACCAACGCTAATTATTTTTAAATGTTGAAAGTAATTAATGAGTATTTAACTTCTGATGCATAATGGAATTAATTTTGGTGGTGTAATGTGAGTGTGCCTTCTCCTTCAGGAATTGCAACAGTCGATCGTGAATCTGAATACAAGTATTTTGGCCCCTCAAGCCATCGTGATTTCAAGAACCGAGTGGATTTTTATAGTGAATTGGTGAATGCGTCGGAACAGAGCTCTCCTTTTGTGCTGAATATTATTTTATTAAACCTTGCCTTTACTTCACCCTTTCCGGTTCCAGATAATTGTCACCAAGGAGCTGACATCTGTCTTTGATCAAGGCGTTATACATACTCGGTAGTTCTATGTGCCTCTCCATAGTACTTGGGGTGGGCTCCCCTATAAGCCCAATGTAGTGCAGGTGACAGTTGACCATCCAGTGCACCGTGAAGACCCAGATGGTCTTCCCAATCTAGCCTTTATTTAGTTTAGAAGCCTAAAAGACTCAAATTTCCCGAGAAGGGGACGCTGAACTCTTTGACCCCAGTTTCTCGATATCACTGAGACTGGAATTGACCTTTTCACCCAGTTTAAATCTTGGTCTTGTTTTTTTTGTAGGGCAGACTAAGGACCCGACGAAAAAACACGCTCTTCGAGTCAACTCCTTGCTCTCTATTCCACAGTGTACTTGAACCCAGATCAAGCTTCCCTATTAAACCCACGTAGTCTTATCTCTTCGTTCTTCACATGTACTCAAGGAACGTAGCCGATCGGAGCAATTCGGATGACAGCGTCCTCAGCACCGCCTGCAGGTGTCCATCTATTTTAGAAATATGAAGACGATAATTGTGAAATTTTGTTCCATGTTAATTTTCGCCGTCGGTCAGATCTTGGTCGATGACCATAATATACCATACCCGTTCCCCTCCCGTTAGGAACTCTTATGTATACCAAACGTCCCATTACAACACAGTCCTGACAGTAAAGCACTTCTTTATAGACTGCCCAAAATTACGAAAGCGTAGAGCTGCCATGCCAATATTGGAAAATATTTTCAGGAAAACTTACACTTTTTCTGTAAATTTACAATTTTTCTGTCAATTTCTACCTTAATAGCCTTGCGAGTAGTTACAGCCAGCCAAACTGTGTTCTACGCCGGTTCAGTTGCACTTGCAGACGACTAGTTCACAGAAGTCTTCATTGTGTTGTGCATCTTTTCGACATGGATGAATTTGTGGACTTTCTGCGTGGTAGGGGAATTCCCGATTTAACCGTTCAACAATTCTTAGACGAAAATGTAAGTTCTATCGCTTTCACTTCTAATACTATTAGACAATAAATTATTGTTACATATTCATAAAAAAGGACCACAATTCGTGAGCCACATAGATACGTGCATTTAGCAATGGCGCACCCAAAGCTAGTACCAAAGAGTATATACCTAATTTTCGTGCGTTGTATTCTTTTTTTAGTGCACTTTCACTTTAAAAAAAATAAAAAGTGCACTTTTGCGCTCTGGAGGTTTGTCTGTCTGTATGTCTGTCTGTCTGTCTGTCTATCTGAGTTACAAAGGCTCCGGAACTACACCACTACAGACATAGTATTGTTGCCATTCGATCAGAAATGAAAAATTATTTGTTGTTTAATTGTATTCTCGTGAAGGCATGAAATTCCATAAGGGCTATTAAAATCGAAAAAACAAATTTGAAAGTGCACTCTTCGCCTCTTGCCCACACTATTTTTTTTTCTTTGTCAGCCCGTATTTATAATGAACTTTGCATTGGAATTAAACGCAGCGTTTGCAAGTGTATGAAAGGTTCACTGGTGAGTAAAAGCGTTTCAAAAGCTATGCAAAACGAATTATTAATTACAAATGTTGTAAATGTATGATCTCCAGTTTCATTGCGCTGGACGCCGACATTAGATATCTCGAATCAGCAAATTGTTGTTCATTACTAGATACGTGTTTAATTGACAAATTAGCGTCTGATCAAGCAGTAAATATACATTATCCCTCAAAATTATTCCGTGGCCGGGGGGGGGGGGGGGGGCAGTTCTTGTTGTCATTCTGGGTTTTTTGTCGAGCGGCTATTCTTGATGAAAAATGGTCCAACGTAGCTTATCCACAAGCTGAAATTTTAAACGTCGAGTTGTGAACACCTTTATTTAAGCAACAGGATTCTTTTATTATGTAGTTTTATTTATCCGTAGATTGATCCGCCGACCATTATGGTTATGTCTGATGATACTTTGAAGATATTGTTACCAAAATTAGGCGATAGGGTTGCCATTAAAGCATACTGCAAAAAAGAGTTGGCACCCAAAAAGCAGAGCTTAATTGATCGACTAAAATTGAAAATGTCAACGCCGGCGGGCAATATCACCGCACACAAAGGAAATTCCCATAAAAAAGTAAAAACAACGAGACTGATTGAAGTGGGTTGGGTTTGTTCAATGGACTGAGAAACCTACACCCAGGTACGTAAGCTGCAAGGTGGTGGCACCCGGCAAATTGAAATTGAAAAGTCTGCAACGGTAGAAACTGTACGTCAACGTGCCTTGGAGCTTTTTTTCCCTGTTGGCAAATCCACCAAAGGGTATCTAACAGATTTTGAAACAAAAATGGTGGATTTTTCGCTGCAACAATTAGATGATCAACTAACTATCGAGGAGTATTTTTCTCGCACCGCTTTGACAAAGTTAAGGTTTTATTTGGCTTCTAAATTTATCAAAAAGGCATCTCCTCCGGCTAAACGGACTAGGATACGCAGGACTGCTTTATCAATTACCGGAAATGGAATTTTGTCAGATGATGAGAATTCATCAGATCAGATTAATGATGTATCTAGATCGCTTCCGAATGAGGTAGATGCCGAATTCATCTGCAATCGGACAATAAATGAAGACTTTACACCGTTTCTGGGCTTAGGGACAAATGATGACTATGCCGTGGATCTAATGTATTTTTCACATTATTTTGTTATTATTGTATCTTCTCATTTTTTCAGTGCCCCGCAACCACAGTTAGGAGCAAAGAGGATAACAGTACGGACCTAAGCGTAAACAGTAATGACTGGAATAATTATCCTTACTGGCATCAATCATATGAAGTTGTAACGCAAACAGTAACATCCGAACAACAAATTCCTAAAGAAGATCTAACTTTATTAGTAAACTCAATCCTTGACTGTTGTGAGACTCAGCCGTTACCAAACATCACCAATACACACATTTGTGAACCTCAAACGATTTCTTCACTTTTGAAGCACTTACAAAAAAACATCAACACGCAGAAAACATCACAGTTCAACATATACAGAGAAGATGTGTTTGGATGTTGCGTCCGAGCAATGAGAAGAACCGGATTTGATCCATTTAGTAAAATTTCAGTCAAGTTTAGTGATGCTGAGGGTACAAGCGAAGGTGCAGTTGATGAAGGAGGTCCTTGCAGAGAAATGTTCAGATTATCTCTGAACTGGCTGAAAGACAGCGGTATGTTCTGTGGTGCCCATAAGAAAAATTTGAATCTTTGTGGGAATGCTTTGCACAAAAACATGTATTTCGAAGCGGGTCGATTAATTGCTTTATCCCTGATTCATGGAGGGCCGGGCCTCATTTTTTTTTCTGAGACACTATTCTCGCTATTATGCGACCAAATTGCAGTCCCAACACTTGATGATATCGATCGAGATGTAAGAGAAACGACTATGCAATTTCAAAATGCCAACGAGTTAGAAGAACTACGAACAATAATAGGAAATAGCGATGTTTTTTCTCTGTCGGGATTCCCAATTATTGGTCAAGCAGAAGAGCAAGAAAAAATTGTCCAAGGTATACAATATGTATATTTAATACTAGAGATAATACCAATAATAATAATTACTTTTAGGGACGCTACGATTTTTTGCTGTGGACAGAATAAGAGAACCACTGCGGCAATTAATTGCAGGGTTGAATACATGCGGTCTATATGACAAGCTTGTGCAATATCCCAGTATATTCAAAGACATATTTTGTTCTGAAATCACACTATCTTCAAAAGTAATTGAAGAACTATTCCTGATTGTCTATACCGAACCTGGAACTAACACCCGTAGTAAAGAAAATCGTGTGATTTCTTATTTTAGGGATTATGTATTGGATTTGGAATGTATGTGGTATAACAAAATGTATTATTTTTTCTTTAATATGTAGGTTTTTAGGCGACCCGACAAATATTGTCACTCTTCCCGATCTTTTAGTCTTTGCAACAGGGTCTGATTGCCTTCCGCCTTTAGGATTTCCTTTAAGGCCAGAGATCATGTTTTTGCATGAAAAGAATTCGCGATTTCCGATAGCAAATACTTGCAGTCTTCAATTAAAACTGCCAGTGGTACATACCAGTTATGAGGACTTCAAAACCGATATGGATTTTGCCATGGGTAATGCTAAAGAATTCGGGTTCGCGTAATAAGTACTTGTTTTATTTTACGTTAATCTTATTGAATTTGGATAATATAATATTTGTTTTGTTAAAGTTTATGTATAAAGAGTACTCTATTTTGTTATACAGTTACCGTTAAACTACCAATATTCGTAACTTTTATGTAACTATTTAATATCAAATACAACTTTTTATGCACATTTTCATTTTCATTTTATACTAGAATAACATTGAAAAACTTCTGTCTCAAATTTTTGTATAATTCTATAGCTGCTTCTACGTTGTTGGTCTTGACCCATCCTTCCTCCTCCATAATTATCGCAGCTAACTGGTACACGTCATAATCTGAAGTGTTTCTAGGCTTGGGTATTGTTTCCAACCAAAGATCTCTCATCTCTGTGCTTACAGGATGTAAGTAGTCGATGGACATGAAATCTTGAGGTCTATTATACATCATGAATGGTCGTCCATAAGGTGCAATGCTATTTCTAGAACGCGTTATTCTAAGTGTATTCCATTCCAGGGCAACCAAATCAAGTTCCTCCTAGACAGAAAAGTATGAGATTTATTGTGGTTTGTGGTGTGGTTGGTTCTCTCTGTGGTTTCCTCGATCTGATCTTTGACAGTCGCTGATTAGCATTACAAAATCATTAGATCTATCAGCTTTGTCACATGTAAAGTGGAAACCACAAAGTGAATGAATTATAGCAATTGGCGAAAGTGTTTTAAAATATTTCATAAAAACTATTCTTTATACAAATTTTGACCCCACTTTTCGAGTAATAATAAAAAGTCTCTTAGTTGTATTTACGTATTTGAAGCCCAATTGAGTATTTTTGTCTAAGGGCAACTATACAGGGTGTTTTTTTGGGAGCTTTAGTTAAAAGTTTCTGGGAAAGTAAAATAGGTAGGTTTTTGAAAATTTGTACTTAGGAGTTACTCTGAAGGCTGAATCGATGTAAAATATTTTCAAAATGGCCGCACTTCCGGAAACACCGGAAGTAGATAGTAACTTCGTTATTTTAAATGGCAACCCCTATTTTTTATTGCATTTTTCGATTCTATGTGAAATTTCAGTTCTTTTGATTCCCATATGTCGATATCTGCCATTTATGGTTTTTAAGTTATTTTGACTTTAAGAAAAAAAATGGCGGATGCAGATGGTACTTTGATAATTGATTACTTGAAAACGGTTGTAGTCATGGCAACCTATTTTTATCAGTGCATAGAGAATGAATAGGGCTTTCTTTTAGTGCACTTAAAAAAAAGTTAAGTTGCGTACTACCGCCCCTATGAATATCCAAATTTATGAAACTTCAAAGACTAAAAACTCAGTTTTTTTTAATGGAATGACCATGTTCTTACTATTCCATGAGATAGAGAATCGAAATTGGCATATTTTGACAATACATGTTCCTATAGCTATCTTTAACAGTTTCTGACTTATTCCCATTTTATTGAATTGACACTATTTTTTTCGGATTTTCTTTTTAGTAGTCGGCTATGATTTTATAACAATCGAATTTTAAACAAATCTAGTGACACTAATCCATCACCCACTGTTATAGGTTAACATAAGTTTTTCAAAAATCGAAAAATGACTCGCAGTGGTTTCACCTATTTTGGAATTTAATTGTTATTTATGGTGAAATGGGCAGAATCGCGGCGCGTGCTTTCCTTACATTCATTTGAAAACTGGAACGAAATTGTATGAATTTTGGAAATTTTGTACCCCTAATGCACTACAAACCGTTGAAGCACAAGTGATACAAAGCTCTACAACAGAATATTTAAGAAAATGAATTGAATTGCAAATGCAAGATTAACATATTAAATTCAATGCAAAATATAAAAAACTTCGTTGAAACATTTTTGGTATGGAATTGTTGCTAGAACAGATATCACATTACCTCTCTTAATTTCCAGACTTGTTTAAGAAATTCAGTTGAACGACTCTGTTTAGATTTTTCAAAAATTTTCCGTCCTATATCCTTAATAAATGAAAAAATTAATGAATTATTTAGACTAGAACTAGAATCAATGGTATTAAAGAATCCATTCCTTGATTTGTTTAAAATTCGATTGTTATAAAATCATGGCCAACTACTAAAAAGAAAATGCGAAAAAAATGGCATCAATTCCGAGATCAATTCAATGGAATGGGAATAAATCAGAAACTGTTAAAGATAGCTATAGGAACATGTATAGTCAAAATATGCCAATTTCGATTCTCTATCTCATGCAATATTAAGAACATGGTCATTCCATTTAAAAAAACTGAGTTTATAGACTTTGAAGTTTCTTAAATTTGGATCTCCATAGGTGCGGTTGTATGCAACTTAACTTTGTTTTAAGTGCACTAAAAGAAAGCCCTATTCATTCTCTATTCACTGATAAAATTAGGTTGCCATGACTACAACCGTTTTCAAGTAATCAATTATCAAGGTACCATCTGCATCCGCCATTTTTTTTCTTAAAGTCAAAATAACTTAAAAACCATAAATGGCAGATATCGACATATGGGTATCAAAAGAACTGAAATTTCACGTAGAATCCAAAAATGCAATAAAAAATAGGGGTTGCCATTTAAAATAACGAAGTTACTATCTACTTCCGGTGTTTCCGGAAGTGCGGCAATTTTGAAAATATTTTACATCGATTCAGCCTTCAGAGTAACTCCTAAGTACAAATTTTCAAAAACCTACCTATTTTACTTTCCCAGAAACTTTTAACTAAAGCTCCCAAAAAAACACCCTGTATTGAATGCTATGTAAAATATTTCACAGAAATTATTCTTATACCTACACTGACCACACTGCACGCACTTAATGGTGCCAAGTCCTTTTGGATACTAGCAAACATTGATTCTCAGATCGGATTAAGCGAAACCCTCGACAGAACCTGATGTTATTACTACTATTACTTATTGAATAATTATTGTTTATCCGAACAAAAACAGTTATTACCTTTATAATGTCCAAGAAGCAAAATTGTATGAGTGATTTATCCAATAAACTTCCTGAAAATGAGCCCTCATCTTTCAAAGTATGAAAAACATTCATCCAAAATTGGGAGTGATGTTTCCGTAAGGTTGACCACCACGCTTCTATGCGTTGATTTGCATGACTAGTTCCATATAAAAATCCCGGAAGGTGTGATAGCGCATCCGGTCCATCCAGTTTTAGATTGGTCTGTATTCGTTCAATGATGACATTTTCAGTACCCAAATCGGCGCGCAAAGTCTGCGGACATCCACTTCTAGTTGTAACTGCTTGCATAAAATGATAAGCAATTACCGAGGGGTCGTTGGTATTTGGGCCAACTTCCAACCAAATAATATAACGAGAAAATCCGTCTATGCAGCCTGTTATACAAATTCCAAATGGTTTCAATTTGTCATAACAATCGGTATGCCAGAGAAAATTTGGCCCTTTATTGTAGTATTGTCTCCTTCGTAGCCGACGACGCTGACGTAGTGTAACTCCATCGGGATCCAAAGTGCGTAGCAGTTCTCTGACTGTATTTTGAGTTACAACAAATCCGTGCTGAAGGCACTTAAGGTGCATCCACCGGTAGCCGTGCAGCTGGCCGTGTGTCGATATTTGTGTTTCCAGAAATTCTACTAGAATATTAATGTCCGTGTAAATCTTTTTTCTAAATAAACGAAGTCGTCTTAGATGCCTTCGCAAATGACGTAAACTTAGAATGTAACCGTCTTCTAGAAGACATGCCAAGATTTCTTTGTGACTTAATCCTATTTGAAAGTAAGTTTTAATATAGTCGTCCATAATATTTGATGAATATCTGTACTTTGTCGGCACAATTTCAACCTTACCGGTCGTCTCTCACTACCGAATATCGAATACCTATACTTCCACTAATTCATCCATGCGGAAAAGATGCACAACACAATGAAGACTTCTGTGAACTAGTCGTCTGCAAGTGTAACTGACTCGGCGTAGAACACAGTTTGACTGACTGTAACTACTCGCAAAGCTATGAATGTAGACATTGACAGAAAAATTGTAAATTTACAGAAAAAGTGTAAATTTACAGAAAAAGTGTAAATTTACAGAAAAAGTGTAAATTTACAGAAAAATTGTAAATTGACAGAAAAAGTGTAAGTTTTCCTGAAAATATTTTCCAATATTGGCATGGCAGCTCTACGCTTTCGTACAATGGCCTATGGTTGTCGAGGCACTCAAACCAAATAAAAAAAATAGCATGGTTAGGTGCTGTCGTTTTCATAGACACAGCATTCTCATATGTTCTGCACGTCATTTTATATCATACTCCGCGGGTTTTAGAGGAGCTCAGAAGCAAAGTGTTTTGAAGAGAGCCATATGAAATGTACCGTCACTTGCAATTTACTTCATTAGTTTTTTATCTTTTTATTCAAAAGTTATTAAAAATGTATATAGGAAAGGGGCTTTTTGACCATCCAGTAGCTTTAATCAAAGGACCTACCTACAGTGCTGCTGTTTATGAAATATAAAGAATTCTCCACAATTTTCTTCAATCTCTGACGTTGAGAATTGCTAGACAAGTTAATCTCAATAATAATTGCTGGCAATCTTTAAGACCCTTTAGTATTTCCTAGACATCAAAGCCGATTTTGTGACGGGACTACATAAACAGCTACGTCCCTACGTAAGTCACTAGTCGAGATAAATTAAACTAATAAAGTAAAAAACTTCGAAGACCTCTAAGCTAAAGAACGTAATCCAATTTTTGTAAAGCTCTCGTACGTTCCAAAGCACACGATATGTTTGCATTTGTATTCCAGGAGCGCCGGCGATTTCTCATTTAAAATATTTTTATTACTATTTGGGATATACCGAAGAATTTATAATCAGGGGAATTGAAAGACGTAAACTTTCAACCATTAAAAACATCTGAGCCTACCAATAGGAGGACTGTTTCACTCTCGAATGCGTTTTTTAAGCAAGTATGGCACTTGAAACAATTGAAATTGGGTCGAATTTTAATTACTTAAAAGTACCTTAACGTTCGCGAGCGACAAGAGATTTTTCGTGTCCATATTTCTAAGGAAAACGAAAACTTCGCCTTTGTAAGACGAACGAACAACCCCTTCGCGTAATTTTAAAATTAGTTTCGAGAAAGCGGTTCGTTATTCCATTATCGCGTCTCCCTCGCCTCCGAGGGAGGAGATACATTTAATTCCTCATTTGACGAATTAATAATTCAGTAAAAGACAACATTGCGAAGTACGGAAAGATTGGAATATTTTAGTACTTGAGGGTTTCGTTTCAGGTAAGTATATATACCTACGATGTATATCAAAAGAAACCGTTTATATTGAAGTGAGCCGCTTTCAAATGTGCCTTTCCCGACCTACTTTGAATTTCCAAACCACTAACTGATATTGTCAAGCGAGTCTACTTGCTAATATACCGTTTGTGGAAGCGATTCTGTTTTAAATTGCATATTACGTTCGTGTGATGTTACAACGCACTTTAAGCACCTGTGACCGTTAGCCACAACCCACTATTTTGAAAAACTGTGTTTCCGGCTCAACTGCAGAACACCCTCAGTTTCATAATAAGCGCTACTGAAGCCAAATAGGTCAGGTTGTTTTAACAATTGCAACATCGTTTATGGGTGTGTTATCGCCGCAAAAGTAAAACAAAAAAACCATCAAACCACAATAATGCATTAAAATATCGAACGCGTTTCAATGACACGGCTATTATCATTAGCGAAGAACTAAAACGTGTTGCAAGAACGAAACAGTTGACTGCATGCTCATGTGACAATTACGGTGGGTTAATAGAATCATTATCATTAGTTCACTATCATTAGATCATGAAGAAATAGCCAATAAAGACAAAGGTTTATTGTACGTCGTTAATCAACGAAACCATACCTTGTTTTTATTGGATATTTCTTAATGATCTAATGATAGTGAACTAATGATTGTATAAACGCATCATTATATATTCATTAGGTACATGAAACAACCCGACGAGGTTTCCATGGAATGCGGCTATTTATTTTAGTAGGTACCCCAAAATACAACAAAATTTGCACGGAATTAACGGAATGGATTTAGTTCCAGCAGAAATTCGTGAAGCAACCAAAAAGGCTAGTATGCGCTCGCTGTCTTTGAAATCCAAGAGTGCATACGAGAAGGAACTGCTGCCTTTTGAAAGTGTGAATGACGTCACGGAGGAAGTTTCGATGCGCGATCCACATTGAAGATCCACAAGATTTTACAAAATATGGATAGAAACAGGATGGAGAGGTTTTTAAAAGACGCTCCAGAGAAAGAATGTTTGATGGCGAAAGTATGCTATGCTAATTTTTGATTAATCTGAAAATTGGTGATCTTTTTCAACCTAATTAATTCGAAAGTCAGTGATTTTTATAAAGAAACTTCAAGCGATATTTCAATGGCAGTCATGTAATTTCGAATAAACATGTATTCGAGTATAATGTCGATACGGTTTTATTTTATTTCTTTTATTTGTAAATTACACTGCAGGTATAATAAATTTTTATAAGAAACGGGTTTATAGTTGATCTTTAAAGCACTTGCAACGTATAAACTCGTTGCGTGTGCTTTAAAGACTTGATTATACACTTGTTTCTTATAATATACTATTATTATCTCCAATACACATTAAGGCGCCCAAAGTTCAATGGTATTAGCGTGTTATGAACTGAGATTTTTTCGGTGCTAAACTGCTAACAATCTAACAAAATATTTCCATAGTGCCAACGAGTTCGAATAAATCTTTCAGCAACAACAAAACATCTTTATTTGTTGTGATTTTTAATATTACATTCAAGGTTTATTATTTAATTTTTTTTATTGTGGTTTAAAGATGGAGGTGGTCATATTATTTTGTAACGAGATCTTCCCATATATAACGTGAGGTTAGTTCGGCGCTGTAAAACTCAAACCCCGCCGCATAAACGGCCAGCTAGCTCAGATTCTTAATTAAAAGAAGGGCTCGAGATGAGAATCTTCCACAGCGGTAAAGAAGGGCTCGAGATGAGAATCTTCCACAGCGGTTTGTTCGTTTGGGCATATAACATAAGTTTTTGATCTTTGGTAGTCACTAGAAATGATTAGTTGAGCGCCACCCAATTTTGCACAAATTCTGACCTCTCCTGTATAGAAATTGGGAAAACACAAGAGAGCCAAATAATAAATTCACTACGAGCAATTCTGATTTATTAATCCTGACAAAACGGTGCAGGATCGGCAAATAAAATGTATCTTCAATACGACAATAACAAATACTTTAAATGACAAAAATAATCCCCAAATAAATTCCTGAACACTTCCCTAATAATTACGTTACCAGCCCCCTACAACAATGATCGAGCAAAAATGTAGTTAAGATTTCAATGGATTCAAAGATTGAATTAAGTTAACCCGAATAACAACTCATATAGGCAACACTGGGTACAAGTAAATTAAAAATCTTACCTTGAATAACACATACGCTGTCTTCTCCGAAAAAGAGCTCTCCTTCGAAGTTCCAGTTCTGTAACACAAAAACAAACCCCAAGCTACAACGCTCGGAACGATTATATGAGCCGGAAGGGCCAAAAAAATAGCTTACTCGTAGCCGGCTCGTTTACCCATACGTTAAATACAGGTGCGTTGCTCTTGAAGAGAGTCACGACCTCAAACACTTGATGCGAACAAAATACAAAGCTCCGATCATAAATCGTCGGAAGGTTACACTAGATTAACGGTATTGAAGCAAATAAAAAAAGGTTGTGTAAAAGATCGTATCTTCCGAAAATTCCACCATCAGCTGGTCGCTCCCGGTATCGTTTAGGTGTTAGCGCTTATCTACTCGGTGGTACGCCGGATAGCTGCCGGCAATCAACAGGTGTTCGTACTCCGGAATATTCGCAAGATGCAAATTCATTTACATACAAGAATTCATCTACTACATGGATTGACCGGTACAAGAATTCGTCTACTACATGGACCCCCTAAAAGTAATGAAGATGTAACACTCCCTTAACGAGATTTTTAATAACATACCTGAAATCGTCAGGAGGGTAATGAAAAATACTTAAATCAATGAAATATGGAAATTATCCAAGAGGTTGTGAATATGTAGGTAGGGCGATGAACTTCCACCAGATATAGCCTCACAACGGAGAAAACGGCTTCTGAGTTACTCTACTCGACAACGCCAATAAACAGGTAAAATTGCCAGAGATTTTACGTGAATGATGGCAAATATTACCCACTGGTTTTAGAAGAATTCACAATGCCACGCTCTACAAGTACAACCTCGTTGGCTTTAAAACGGAAATGAAGTGAAAAAATTACGCGATTCTGCGCGAGGAAAGAAGCACGCGTACAAGTGACGCCATCTCACCTATATCCTGCCTAACGTAGCAAGCGGTAATTTTGAAATTTGAATATAAATAAACTAAACTGTTACACCCCCCCTCTCCTTCGACAGGAGGGAAACTACAAGTTTTCCGACGATCGAAAAACCCAGCACACACACTCGAAAAGGAAGCAAACAAATTGAAAACCCGAAAACCCACCCCAGTGTAAAAAAAACTCCCCCCCAAAGAATTTCACCTTCAAAGAATTTTCCCAGGTTCTCCAGCAGCGGAAAAGGTATGCAAAATCGGGTATTGACATGCCCTCGCGTAAAGATGGAATCTCGCGCCGTCGGGTATCATGACAATAGCAACCCCTTTCCCACAACCCAATCCAACTACTAGTCACCCCCAAGAAAACCAAATCCAGTGCCCACCCAGAAGAAAGAAACCCTACAGTTTCAAGTGATGCAGCACCAAAATCCCCAAAATAAAGAAACCCCCCTCCCTGACTAAAAACGACACAAAAGCCCAAATTTTGACCCCCTTGCCGAAAAAGTGTAGAAGGAAACCCCCAAAAAGAAGGTACCTTTCCAACCCAACTCCACCATGCACTAGCGCAATGAAATGAAGAAGGTGCTATGGATAGAAGA